GCCCGTGCTAATATCAATCCCAGCCAGGAACACCCAATCTACGACAGCCAAACATCCGAGCGCAAGGCACGGAATGACACTCCGGGAGAGCCAATGTACAACATAAAGACAACCAGTGGCGCTCCATACACAGAATTGGCTCACGGAAGCGGCTCAGCAGGCCTTCACGGAAGTGGTGCACATGGAACACCCACACATGTTGGTACCGATGGCCCTATTGGGACGACGGCAGCGGCGACCGGAGCTCATGACCCAATCCGGACGCAAGATTACTCTACTACCTCGCAGCCTCTCCAAAGTGGAACCGCGACTGCTGGAGGAGCTCAACGTCCCGATGCCTACCCCCATGGCCACACCGCAGACCCAAGCGTCGCGAGCATCAAGAGCGGCGTTATTGGATTTGGTCCGGGAGCCAACCAGGGACATGCTGCCATGTCGACACACAACCCCACTCAGGAGTATCTGGGTCAAGACCAAGTAGTTGGAGGTGGAGATCATGAAACTGCCGGAATGACCAGGGGAGCGGGAATGACCGAAGGAACAGGCGTTAATCCAGGCCAGACATATCCTCGTACGTAGATCTAATCTACTATCTAATGCGCAAGACCTGACCAGACCGCAGAATCCAGTGCCATCGGTGGTGATTCAACAGGCGCTAATCCTGCCTACGCGAGAGAAACCCAACCATATGAGAACACGCTGCGACAGGAGAGCTACACCGCCGATACTGATCGATCCTTCCCTCTCGCGGGCGGTGTCATCTCAAAACCTCATCAAGATCCCACATCTACCCAATACCCGACTGAGCACACCTCCCCTCTCCAGAACAAAGGCATCAGCGAACTCGACTCTGGCACAACAGAGAGGGGAGTCGGTGTTCATGACAGCCCTTCTCAAGATAGTTATGGGAGGGAAGGGTTGGCTGGAGCAGCCGCCGCCGCTACTGCCATTGGCGCTTCTCAGGCACACTCACAGCCAGAAAGGCAGCCAGAGGCACAGGGTGCTCGGAACCGAGGTCTACATACTCGCCAGCTTTCATACAGACATGTTGCACCGGGAGACACTACGGGAACTCCTCAGGCAGGCACTGTTTCGAGCCAGCCGACGTCCAGCCACCATCCCGAAGCTTTGGCAGCTGCTACTGCGGCGGCCACCACTGCAGCCGCCTCGAATTCTTCCGCTCTTCCTGCATCTACTCAGGGGAATGAGCACAGATCCCGGGATGTCAACGCGGCAGAAGCTCTTCAGCCTATCGCTGGAGCTCCGATGACTGGAATGTCGAGCACTGGTGAGCGCCCAGTAAACCCCCGACTTGAGTCACATAGGCACATTCCTGGCGAATACATCGCTACACCTAGCGACGAGAAGACATTCCTCAACTACGCCCCCGTTATTCAATCCTCATCCACAGACACAAGCGCACCGATTGCGGCCGCGGAGCCTACGTCTACATTGGACCCATCTCACGTTCAGCATTCGAGCATTGACCCCACATCTACAAGCGAACCTCATGAGCTGAGACACACTGGAACACTTGGAGAGCCTCAGCCAAAGTACGCAGATGACCACCACTACGCTCGCGATGCTGCCATTGCTGGAGGACTTGGTGCTGGCGCAGCGGGCTTAGGCGCGCATGCAGCTTCGAAGGATCACGACACCAAGGACGTTGCTGGTAGCCAGCCGTTGTACGAAGAATCTAGCCCGTACAGTAGCAAGATGCTCGACCCTCGTGTTCTAGGCGCTTCTAAGCCAGAGGAGCAGAGATTCGATGAGCAGAGGTTCGATCCATCGGCCAAAACTGAGACGGCTCCTACCAGTGGTTCAGCTATTTCTGGCCCTCCTGTCTCGCATAATCAGTCCGAGACCGCAGACTCACAGCACAGTTACGGCCGTGATGCTGCAGTATTGGGTACAGGTGCTGTAGGAGCCGCTGGAATGCACCACATCCTTCACCAGAACGATACTCCTAGCACTACTACCTCTGCAATGCCCGAAAACTCATCTTACCCTTCTGCCACGGGATCGAATGTTGCTGCTCCTCAGCCAACCTCAAACTTCTCTAAGCCGCTCACCACTGCGAGTACCTCTGCCTCTCAGCCTGTTGCGAATGATCATTTCTACGGTGCCACAGGAGCCCCCGCACCAATTTCAGACACGAGTGCACAACAACCATCAAGTGGTCTAGGTCAGACATCTAGCGCCAGCGCGGTTCCTGAAAGACATCCAGAGCACCACTATGGTCGCGATGCTGGCCTCGCCGGAGCTGGCGCTGCTGCCGCCGGTGGTCTCTATGCTGCCAACCGTGACAACACCGACAGCGGACCAGCTTCCAGCACTATCGGACCTCATTCGAGCAACGCTGCCAACATCGTGGACCCTAGGGTTCAGCCAGAGCCAAGCAAACAGATACACCACAACGTCGGACCAACAGCTGAGGACCCTGCTTCGCGCACGATCGGCCCGCACAGTAGCAACATTGCCAATATCGTCGACCCAAGAGTTAAGCCTGATCCATCCAAGCAAAAGGAACATACCACAGTTGGACCGCATCAGTCAGACACATTGAATCGCCTGGATCCCAAGGTTGACGAGAAGGCTGGCCAGCAGAGTGAGCATCATTATGGTCGGGATACTGCTTTGGTTGGAGGTGCAGGCGCCGCCGGTTACGGTGCATACCAAGCCGGAAATGCGTACGGCGATCACAAGACGACACAGCCTGAAGCATACGAAGCTGGCACTGCTGGCACTGCGTATGGTAACCAGAGCATGACACAGCGAGCACAAGACGCTATCAATGCGTACGGAGACCACAAGATGACTCAGCCTGCCGCTTCCATGCCAGACCAGAGATACGATCCCACGGCTGCCGGCGCACGAGCAACCAACCCAGTTTCTCCAACAAGTCAATACAACTACAACGACCCCACTACCCAAAGCAATGTCAACCGCACTGATCCCAACGACCACATCAACAGGAATGTCGCGCTTGGAGGAGCAGGTCTTGCAGCTGCCGGATTGGGAGCAGGAGCTTACGCTGGATCCAAACATGACGACAACACTACTCAGCTTCCACTTCGACAGAAGCAAGACATTGCGTCTTCCGGTCAGACTGCGTACCCAACGCAAGGAATGGCACAGGCTTCCTATCCTGTTCACGAGACTAGCACGAGTACATCATACCCCACCACAGGTACCATCGCGCCTTCCGGTCAAACCGCGTACCCAACGCAAGGTATGGCACAGTCTTCCTATCCCATGCACGAGACTAGCACGGGCGGATCGTACCCAAGCTCAGGTACCATCGCACCACACAACACGCATACCCAGGAAATGTCATCTCAACCCTGGGGAGCTGGGGCAGTTCCCGTCAACGACAGTCACGACAAGCGTAACGCGGCTCTTATGGGTGGCGCCGCAGGTGCAGCGGGCCTAGGTGGTGCAGCTTACATCAACTCTCAGAACCAAGACGAACGCGAGGCGGAAGAGCGTCTGAAGAAGATTGCCCATGATCGCGAGAAGGAGCAGCATAGACTCGACAAGGAACAGCACAAGCATGACAAAGAAGTGCACAAGCACGACAAGGCCGTCGCAGCACACGAGAAAGACGAACATCGTCTGGCCAAGGAACATGAGAAGGAGCAAGCGCGTCTGGTCAAGGAACAACATCACCGTGAGGAGGAGCTTGAGAAGGAGAACGAAGGCGAAGAGAAGAAGAAGCACGGTCTGCTTGGATTTTTGCATCGTGACAAGTCCAAGAAAGAAAAGTCGACTGCCAGTCCTGAGTCTTCACCACGCCAGTCTCGAGATTACAGTCCTAGACACTCCAGAGATTATGGCGATGATCACCCCGATTCACCACGCTGGAAGGGCAAGCACCTTCTTCACAAGGACCCACCGAAAGGCCACCCCGCCCGTGAGGCTATGGAGCACCAGCAGATGACCGATTCAACTGGTTCGGTAGGAAAGAGGGAGCACATGGGTGTTGATGGTCCGATTGGCAACCCAACCATGATCTCGGGCGATCGGTAAGTTCATTCTGTTCATTCCAACAGCTTTGATTAATTCTAACATACACACAGCGAAACTCAGCATGGCGTCTACGGTGCGCATCCCATCTCGGATTTAGACCGCGACACCACGGTCACTGAGCCACACACTGGTCTGCCCATGAACACCGGGCGCTTCGGCACCGGTGCTGGCGGAACTGACGGTAACCCTGCCATCCATGGCCACCACGAACATTCTGGTCCGGCACCGGGTCAGAGCACTACGGATTGGGAGGCCATCAGGAAGGGCAACACACCATACTAATTTCTTGATGGAATGATGGATTATGATAATCAACGTATACGAATAATGATTTCACGGGATGCACGTATGAATGCAATGGCTAGCTGAATATGATCTGATTCAATTTTCTCATCTTAGCGTTCTGACTGAGTAACATCTGAAGTTGAGCACATTAGCGCAAGGTCGTGAATCACAGAACCCAGTCTTTACCCCAGACTACTACCTTGATCTTCACCCCACGAACACGAACAACAACCGCGGCACCGGCTGAAGTCTGCATAACAATTTCTATACAACCAGCTCTAAATCTTGTGTAACGTTGCGACGGAGAAATTGTGTCCGTGATGATCTCACAGATCGCGGGGAAGAAGTGGGGCTCCTCATATGGATCCTGGCTCGGAAAGGCGCCGTCGGTTGATTCGCGATGGGCCAGATACGAAGGCACGCGTAGCTCCATGCTTTTTACAGAAATACTCCGCGGCGCGAGAGCGAATAATGGCACGGCGCTAGCGGTATGCACGGCGCACGTCACGAATGTAAATCTGGAGAAAGAACGATGGTGACGAGGATCCTCGCATTCGGATCATGGGATGCGCGGTAAACTTAATCGCAAAGAGGAGGACGGACTATGTAAAGAAAGGGGATCGCTACATGCTGAAAGGCATGGTAGTGTTTGGGATTTCTCTAACTACAGATTCTATCTGCCCATCATGAAGCTCTGCAGCTCACTTGCTTTCATACCTTTGTTCCAGCTGGGTTTCGCACTCCTCGATGTCGACGCTATAGTAGACAAGCACTACGGCAACGACGCAGCATGGTACCGCGACCGCATTCCTCTTTTCGAGTCGAGCGACCAGGACATAACTGATGTGTACTACTACCGATGGTCCATTTTCCGCGCCCATCAACGCGATCTCGGTGCTTACGGCTACATTTCTACTGAATTCCTTGACGACGTCGGCTGGCAGACCAAACCTTTCGCAAGTCTAAACGATGCAACAGGCTTCCATCTCTTGGAGGGACGATGGTGCCGCGACCGCCGCTTCAAAGAAGACTACGCGACATTCATGTACAGCAACGACAGCAACAGTCGCCAATTCTCCGAGAGCATGGCCGCAGCAGTCTGGCAAGGCTATCTCGTCGACGGCGTAAAAGAAGACGCAATCAAGCGCCTCTCCGATATGACGCGCGTATATGAAGCCTGGGACGACTCTTTCGACACGTCAAAGGGGCTCTACTACGTCGAGCCCATCCGCGACGCAACCGAATACACAATCTCGTCCATCGACTCGTCGGGCGGCTACGACGGTTTCTTCGGCGGCGATTCCTTCCGGCCCAGTATCAACAGTTATCAGTATGCCAATGCGCTTGCTATCGCCAATATGGCGTCTCTAGCCGGCTCCGTGAACAGCACCGTTGATACATATACCACCCGCGCCGAAGCACTCAAACAGCGCGTTCAGGAAGCTCTCTGGAACACAACCTTTTCCCACTTCATCGACCGCTACCAAGTCGACAACGAAAACGTAACTTACTGGGACCCGATCCGCGGCCGCGAACTCGTCGGCATGGTCCCTTGGACCCACGACCTACCCGACGATAACGCAGACTACGCACAAGCCTGGAGTCACATCCTCGACAGCGGAAAACTAAAGGGAGAAGCCGGTCTAAGGACTGTAGAACCCAGTTACGAGTACTACATGCGGCAGTACCGGTACGAAGGCCCCAACCCAGAATGCCAATGGAACGGCCCCGTGTGGCCATTCCAAATGACACAAGTCCTCTCCGGCCTCGCCAACTTCCTGGATCACTACGAAAAGGGCAAAGAGACGGGTGTTATCAACAGCGATGACTACACGAACCTCCTCCGTCAATACGCACAGCTACACCGGAACCCCGACACAAAGATTTTGGATCTAGAAGAAGACTACTACCCCGACACCGGTCTCCCCATCGTAGGTCTCAAGCGCTCGCACCACTACTTCCACTCCGGCTACGCCGACCTCGTCCTCTCCGGCCTCGTCGGCATACGACCTCGCTCCGACGACGTACTAGAAGTAGCCCCTCTAGCCTCCGCCACCCAACTGTCCTATTTCCGGGCCGAACGCATCCTCTACCATGGCCGCGAAATCGCCGTACAATGGGATAAAGACGGCACCCACTACAGCGGCAACAGCACAGGACTAACCGTCGAAGTCGACGGGAAAGTCGTTGCTACAAGCCCCAATCTCAGCCGCCTCACGGTTGACTTGGAGAGGAAAGCGCCCCCAGCCATCACCCGCAAGCTAGCAAAGTCCATCCAACTCAACTCCACAACCGCCTTCCCCCGTGCGTCTGCCTCAGTCGGTAACTCCAGCCAAGCATCCACATACCCCGCGATCGACGGCCGCATCTGGTTCTATACGGAGCCGGACGCGAAGAACGGGTGGGATACACCCGTTGGTAACGGCTCTTCCGTGTGGTTTGAAATCGACTTTGGGAAGAGTGTTAGTATGAGTAGTGCCGAGCTGGCGTTTTTTGCGGATGAAGAGCAGGGGTTTGCGGCGCCGAAGGGGTACAAGATTGAGGTGCCTGCTGCTGGTGGAAATGGTACGGAGTGGACGGATGTGGAAGGGGCGGTGTATGGGGATGCTGTTGCGAATGGGATTACGGGGGTGGAGTGGAAGGAGGTTGAGGGAGAGAAGGTTAGGGTTATTTTTACGCCGGAGGTGGGGAGGAGGGTTAGGATTGCGGAGTTTAAGGTTTACTAGTTGGGTACGCGGAATTGTATGATGCAGTTTTGGTGCTTACAAGTTCCGCGACCTCGGAGAAATGGTCTTAAGAAAAGAGAGACAGATGGGTGTTACGTAACGCAAACTATGCTTACTTTGCAAGCTTTGGTGTGATATCTAAATCAATAGTAGCATGAATCCATTTACGGGTTTTACTTCCCTACTCGACAAACACATCACGTCAACCCTACGCAGCCATCGTACTAATGCGTTGAGTTATATCAAGATAATATATATTCGCATGAAAATGGGTATGTACAAACTCCCACCAACGCCTCCCAGACAACCCACAGCTCACCACCCATCCCCCCTCCACCATCACCGCCTCCCCGGCCCCAACCCCCCAGCCCACCACCCCGAATCAACCCAATACCTATTCTCCACCTGCGCCGTCTCAACCGCCCTAACCAGTTTCCTCCGATCAACATGCAAATCCGCATGACCATTCGTCGCCTCACCAGGCGTGCGCCTCCCACTCCTTTCCTTCCCCAATCCAGCAAGTCCAGCAAGTCCAGCAAGTCCATCTTCAGCCGCAACCTCAGTATCAGACGTCGACACCGGCGACACAGACCGCGGTGTCGAGGAAGTAGGCGAGGGGGAACTGTACGGAGAGTACGATGTCGGTATAGCGCCTAGGATGCGGCCAGCGGCGAAGACGCAGCCGCCGATTGCGTGCCGGATTAGGGAGTCGCCGGTTAGACTGCCGATGATGAAGACGTCGCGGGCGACTTCGAGGGACGTGGCTTCTGCTTTGGCGCGGAGGGTGCGGCCGGAGATTAGGTGGATGGAAGGCGTGTCGGGAGGAGTAGTGTGCTCGGGTGTGTTGAGGATCTCGGCAATGAGGTTGGTGGAGAGGAAGTCTAGGGTTCCGCGGCGGCCGACGACGTAGGCTAGGCCGCCTACTTCGCGCGTGATGGTTTCGCCTGATGGGAGGCGGAGGGTGACGGTCGCTGTTTTTCCAGACGTTGATGCGCTGATGACTTCGGCGTTGGGCAGGCCTTCGTAGAGGGACCAGTCGCGCTGTTGGAATGGGTTTGATTTCCGTCGGACTGAGGGTGACTTTGCGGTTTTCTTCTTGGAGGCGATTGCTGCAAGCTTCATTTGGCGATAGACTGTCGCATACTCGGGGTATGCGGTATGGTGGCAGCCTCGTAGTGGAGACGGCCTCTTCTCAGGAGCCCACTGGTAGATATGTATGATCCTGCGAGTCGGAGGTGCTGAAATGATGACATCGGCAGCGGAGAATCCAGATCCAATGACAAGCAGAGGCGCTTCTGGCGACTCCATCTGCGCAACGGGCGCGAGGTACTGAGGTGGCGGGATGTTGACCGTGAAGATACCAGAGGCAAGCACAAGATGCTTGCACCGGATCCCAAGACTGCCAATGGAGAACCCGCGAACCGTTCGATGTACGTTCTCGACCTTCAAGCCTGTATATATGCTATCGGCGATGCCCACCGCCTCCGGGTATGTCCTCAGATAGTCGGCAACTTCCACCCTGGATGGTCGCACGAATTCGGCTTCATCCTCCCTCCCACTCTTAGCCAGATGATCCGCGTACGAATAGCCCGGGAGGCTCAGCTGTTCCGCATAGCTCAGTGTCCCAATGTCAGCGCTCGCAGAGACAGGGTTCTCCGCCCACTGTCCGCCTGCATGCGCCGTGTCTCCAATCGCGACATGAGGTATCGCCTTGTCAGGCTCGTATCGCCACTCAATGCAGGACGTGGGATTCAACTCGGTGTCGGCATTCGGGCGAACGAGGGTATCGAGCAGCGTGTTGACGGGCAGCGCCTGGGTCGAGTAGCGCAACGAGGACAGGAAATGCGCGTAGAGGTCTGGCGTCAGATGCAGCAGGTTGGGCGATTTCTGCAGTTTCGCGTCGAGAATCGCGTCATGATGGCCGCCAATGTAGTAGGGGATATGGCCGTGTAGGATGTACGAGAGGATGAGCGCGGACGGCCCATTGCCTGGAATTTGTAATCAGCATGTCGCCTCGGAGCGCGTGGTATTCTCAGGGCGTACCAATGATCAACGTGTCGACGCATTTCGGAAGCGAACGAGCCATGGACTATTGCAGCTGAAGGCCATGGGGAAGTGAAGACCGGCAAGGGCGAAGGGAAGGGCGGATGGGGCTGTCAATAGTGTATGTCTTCAACATGACGGCTTCTTATTTTCTTCGGCGCTAGAAGCGGCGGAACAGGGACCGCAGTGGGGGACGTCGGGTCTCGCCTTCCAGATTGGAGGGGTCGGTTGCGAGCCGTCGCTGACCAAGCTGATGCATGGGTGAAAGTGCCGTATCATGGTGATGATTCAGGATTCAGGCGCAGTGTGGAATCGATGGATTGCGTGATCGCTGCACGAGAGCGACGCGTGAGACGCACGCGGTCACTGCATGGCCGTGGGGGTGCGCTTGCAAGTGCGGGGCAGGCAAAGGTAGAATAGCATTAAACTCTAAATCCAGATGAAAGTCAACTATGGTATCTCGTCCTAACTGTCGCGCTCCAAACCGCCCTGTAAACTACGAGTTGCAAAACTCTGCGCAAGAAAAAGAGCGTGCACTTTGTGATTATCGATCTTGTGACTATCGATTTCAAAGCACCGGGATTACCCGTGGGATCCAAGAGTGAAATCGGTCCTGCCAAACGCTACCCCACATCTCACGTCCGCGTCTAGTCCGCGAGACGACCCATGGTTCTCTAGTATCTGTACGTGACGGTATTACGCTCTGCAACGGGCGAAACGTCAGGGGCCTGTTGCTGAGGCACGTTGAGATCGGGAGTCCGAGGTCGTTCGGCCCGCGGGCGCATGTGGTCATCCTCTTCTTGAATCGTCGGTTGCGCACCGTGCATGGTCAGATTGTTGGCAGAGCTCTCTTGCCGGCCCAGGTATGATGGAGTAGATTGAAAGCCTGGGTGATATGGGTCTGGTGAGCCACCGTAATTGTTCGTCGACGTAGAGTTTTGGTACGATGCTGGAGGTGTGTAGGTAGTCGTATAGTGATCGGCAAATGGGTTCTCTTCTTGCGCGCTGGGTTGTGTGCGGCCTGGTGCAGCTTGCAGTGACGGGGGAAGAGAGCTGTTGTCATTGCCATGGTTAGTAGCCAGTGCGCTGGGTTGTGTCGTTCCGAAATCCATAGGGGCCAGCGAAGGCGCGTCGTTGTGCGATGGGAGATTTGACAGCCCGGGAGACTGCGCAGGCACACCAGCTGGACTACTGGTGCCGTTGGGTGGTGGCGCGTAGGCTCCGTTCTGCACTGGTGGAGAGGGTGAGGCACCCATGAATTTACGAGCTTGGAGGATGGCGCGCTGGTGCTTGGAGGCAGCGAGGGACAGCTGCTCGTTGGTTTCGATGAGAGTGAGCATAGTGTCATCGTCAGGCGCTGGGTTGTCGCAGGCGATGTAGCCGTGTATACTGCGCTGGGCGGCCGTGCAGCGCTCAGCGAATTCCTTGACCAAGTCGTTGCCGAGCAGTTCATTCGCTGGTGTAGACTGTACGAGCTGGAGGAGTAGCTTGGCCGATGTACGTGCTTCCTCGATGCGCCCCGCGAGCTCCACGGGTGGCGGCAACGACTTGGAAGACGACTTGTGTCCGCCTGAACCGAAGCCGCCGTGTATGTTCTGTGAGCCCGACCAGCCTGGCGCATTGAGCTTCCGGGGGCCAAACTGCTTTGCCGCGGCTGCCATGAGACCCTTCTCCTTCCTGTACATGGCGAAGAGCGTGTTCAGGTTGGTGTCGTATGCCTTCTCGCGCTCCATTGAATCCAGCGTCTCCTTGACGATTTGCGCGACACTGGGGTCTTGCCCATGGCGAAGTAGGTGTTTGACCGTGTCTGCGAATTGCTTGTCGAGGTTCTTGGTGAAGGAGGGCCCTGGGTTGTCGGCCAGGATCCTAATGAGCATGACAGAATTGTACTGGACATGAGGGCGGTTGAAGTTCTCTTTGGAGAGGAAGATGCGGATCTGTCTGGCGGCGGCTGCGGCTGCGCTGGGGCTTGCGACGGCGGACTCGACAATGGTAGGCAAGTGGAGGACCTCTTCACCCTGGGCATGTTAGTATGCCGTGTGGAAGTTATGGGTTACCAAACATACCGAGTTGGCGGCACCAGACTCGCAGAAGAGCATCTACTCGCTGTCAGCTTGGTGGATGCGACGAAGCGGTATGACCTACCACTCCCTTGGTAGCATTGGCCTCGGGCGTGTCGGCGTTTGTATCAATATTGACATCCTGGGCTGCGTGCGCTGTCAGTGTTAGGGTGGAATAAGGAAACGAAGGCGATGCGACGCACAGGATCGTTTGCGCATCAAACTGCCCAACTTGAGGCGCTTCTTGAGGTCCATATCTGCCTTGGTAGCGGGGCCGTTCCGCAACGTAAAACGGTCGCAAGGGTATTTGAGGGCAGCTGCGCAAAAAGAAAGCACAGAAGCGCAGAGAGGCCAGAGTCGCGAGGCCGGGGCGTAAGCGTAAAGGAGGCAGATGCGGTACTATCGAGGTGTTGATCGAGGCCTCCAACGCGCCTTCCTCGCGCGGACGGACGGTTACCTAGGTAGGGCTGCGCCTCTTGTCGCCAAGCCATGACAGACTCGCGAAGCACGACGGCCGACGTAAACAGCCGCGTATAACGTGTGGCGACGCTGCACCCATCTCAGTGCTGTTCTCCCATCTACTCCTCTCCTTCGGCACATCTACGCGTCCTGGATGGCGTAGGCTGTGCCAAGACCTGCCATCGGCCTTTACCTGCAGACCCCACTGGCCCGTAGTCTGCGTTAATCGGACCCTTTCCGTTCATCCACCTTGGGGCCATCGCAGAATACGTCGACACTGTAGCACATGACCGGGTTCCTAGCCTGTGGCACCGCCGCGTGATACCATGTCGCGCCTATTCGACGGGCGACACCAAGATGAGGAGGCCAAAGGCGGTTGAACACAGAACCAAACCAGGGCAGCGATGACAATAATTTCCTTTGTCGCCGAGCGAGGTA